GTTAATTTTTCACTTTAATTTATTTTCTTTGTTTAAGTATTTGAATCGATTAGATTGTTACTGTTTTTTTGTTTTTTTTTGTTAGTTTTTCTTTCCAATTTTTAGCCCCCTCCCTCCCGGCTTTTTAGCCGAATTTTTTTCTTTTCTTTTTGGTGTAACATCAGACTACTGTTTCTAGTGTAACACCCAGCTATTGTTTTTTGTTCAACCTTTTATCTTATTCTTTATTCACCGTTCTTTGTTTCTGTCTCTTATAAGGTTTGTTTTTCTCCCAGGCGGATCTATATCTTTCGTGAAATTCTTTCAAATCGTTTTCTGTTTCTTTTTATTTTATTTTTTTCCCTTTCAGCATTTGCTATTTTAGTTCGAATTATTTAGTTTCAATCTTTTATTCTTGTTAATTTAAAACTTTTATAAGTCATTTTTTTTTTTTTACCTTAAAGCTTTGATTTTTCTTCATATTCACGCCAAGAAAGGCGTTGGTTAGATCCAATGACTAGACCCAGACAGTTGTGAGGCTACAGCAGTGTTGACCCGAAAAAGTTGGAGAGTTGAGTTAAAGTGAAATAATTGAGATATCCGAAAGAGGAATGGCACGTGGAACTAAAACAATCTAACCCCATTGGACGAAATAAAGAATTCAGTTCGAAATTCCAATCACCTGAAGAAAGCCGGGGCGTACAACGGCCGAAACGTTGTGAATATGTCAACGAAGATGAAGATAACAGTCCGAATAATGTAAATAATGTAGGTAATCATAATACCTCATCTCAGATATTCTTTCTTGGTATAACCAACATTTGATTTTTGATTTGTGTATTTTATTTTGCATTTTCTTTGCTTTTAGGTTTTACTTTAGTATTTTGTTCTTGTTAAATTGTTTATTTTTTTTTTATATAGTTTCTGTGCTTTATTTGTCATATTTTCGTTGAATTTTGTTTTCCGTTTTTTTCATTTTTCATTATTTAAAAATGAAAAAGAAAATGATGTATTGCCGTGCTTGTCTGAAAAAAAAGAACTTTTTCTGTCAAAAAAGAAAAAAACCCAAAAAACTGAAGAAATTTATCATGGTCAACAAATGTCGGCTGGTAGAGAAAAAAAAACCTGTTTGGGAAGGTTTCAAAAGCGAAACCACCCGATAAAAATAAAGAAGAAAACAAGATTTTGGCTCAAAATGTCCAAAATAAAAAAAAAAAAAATGTTTGGTGTCGCCAAACTACTAAAGTATTGAATTAGACAAGCAGAATCTGATGGCTAATAATGGTGTCCAGGAGAAAGGTTAAAAAGAACCTGGAGGCCGAGGAATCGCCCTCTTGTTTGACGTCCCCGCCGAAATGCATAATCAGCATCGTAGAGTTCTTGTACAAACCCATAAATTACGCACATCTTATTCAAGAAGATAGGCTTTTGGTGGATCCTCAGGAATTAGCGAAAGTTGAGAAACGAATTATGTCATTCATCGTGGTCGACAAGCTTTCGTGCAAAATTTATCGCTCTACAAAAGATAGTCATAAAGTCGTTGACGTCCCTGGAGGTTAAGTTCCAAAGAGGTTTTTTGTTCACGTGGTTCATACTGCTACCTACGCCTGCTGCATGCGTAGAAGCTTCCAACCGTGATCTTATTACAAAAGAAATGTTAAGAACCAATTACGAGGGCAAGCGAAGAACCAATGTTGCAGTGTTCGAGGTCTCTTTTCAGTAGTTAGGGTAACACTTGGCTGCGTACCTGCACTAATATGGTCAGATATTCAGTGCTATCTTCGAAATTATGTTGGATAATAAAGACTTCATCCCTATCCCTAACTGTTTGGATGTGGCTGACCAGAAAATGCCGGTCATTGTAACCGGTAGAAAAGTAACTTGGTAAAGTGTGGAGAGACAAGTCACCTCTCTTCTTCCTGCCCAAATAAGAAGACTTTTGGACTTCTGGCACGGACCAACCAAAATTCCCGTCTGGTCGAGTCTGTGAAATCCTACTCGTCCGTAATACCCATAAATTACGCACAACTTATTCAAGAAGATAGGCTTTTGGTGCATCCTCAGGAATTAGCGAAAGTTGAGAAAAGGATTATGTCAGTCATCGTGGTCGACAAGCTTGCGGGCAAAGTTTGTCGCTCTATAAAAGATAGGCATGCCAGCGACTGGGACCGGTGTGGTTAAACCCCCGGTTGTGTCAATTGTGCAACCCCCATTTCCCGAAAAGCTGTTGTCCACCGCTTGTGCAGTTGTGGGGAATGAAAAGGGGGAACGGTTGGACGATGGTAGGGCCAGAATGCAGGACCTCAAACCCTAGAAGACCCTAAAGTGAAAAGCACATAGAGACCCTCTCCTTGTACCAGTTCCAAGGGCGATGCACCGGTCAAAATATCAATGAGAGATCGATACAAGTAATATGAGCCGTCGTTGTAAAAAAAGAGGAAAACTATAACAACAAACGATGGACAATCAAGAAGTCTGTGCGAGTTGGGGTAAACTGGCCCCTCTTCAACTAACACGTCTTCCCCAATATTCAAAATATCAACTGCCCCTCCATTATTGAGGAAATCCGTCTCCAACAGTATAGTATGCCTCCTATCAAAAAGACACCATAACATTCATATTTCCAAATTAATCTCTTCCTAACACCAAAATCTACATCCACACAAACTCCTTCGCAATCCCTACATAAATCTTAAATAATTCCTAGCCCATGAACAGACACATGATCTGAAATAAGAAAATAAAAGCTCCATACCATCTCAGGGAAAACGTCTGCCGCGTATCAAAGAACAAACCAAGAAAATTTTTCACCGGTTCGAAAACTGAAAGAATAGAGATGCCTGCTAAACATGAGACAAATAAATAGGAAAGGGGAAAACTTCTTAAAGCCGAAGAGGGTACTCACGGTGGTACGATCAAGCAAAGATACGCTGCAGATATAAGAGATGATATTCTTAAAAATTAATCTTAAAATTAATACGCCCAGTGACATATATGTCGGACGAAGAGAAGACAAAATTAAAGCAATATTGTTCAAGGTAGATTTATGTTGTCTACAGAAGACCAAGTTCTTTGTCCTCGAGGCCAGTTCTGATTGTTTAACGGACATTTCATTAATGTGGGGTTCCCCCATGGATCCAATTTATAAGTCCCAGAAATTCATACACAGATGTTAAGGACACAAGGTACAGTGGATAAAGGAGTTGGTTAAATCCAGTGACAGGACCCAAAGACTTGTCAAAGTTATTATCCGAAAGTTGCACTTTTGATAACTGTGACATTCCTGTATTTATTGAACAATTTAGTTCATGCCACATTGACTGAAAAACCTACCAGTACAAAAGAATTCTACTATTACCATATTAGTACAAAACGCACAATTTAAAATTTAAAATTCAACCTCAGCGTTGCGACCTTACAATTCCCAAAAGAATATTTCTTAAAACACATTTTAAAACATATTTCGGATTACATCCATATTTTCGTTGTCCTCTTATTACCGAGAAGTAAAAACAAAACAAATCTATTTCCATACCTGATGATGTCTGTGTGAATAGATGAAAGCTTGTAAAAAAAAGACATTATGCAACTGAAATTTATAAACAGGAATCATAACATTCATCTACAGGTTCGGGATTAATGTTCTTTATTAAATTTGTTTGCGAAGATGTATTCTCGCCATTTATATCATTAACTTCTATATATCTTTTTTGTATGAATGATTCATGTAATATATATATATATATATATATATATATATATATATATATATATATATATATATAAAGTATAGGACTGGTGTATACGGAATAAATTCCAATAACCAACAATTACTATTCTTAAAAAGAGTGCTCAATACAGAATAGAGCGAATATAATTATTTATTAAAAAATTATAACATAAATATGTTATAAAATCACTACAAAATTATCCATCTGGTGTCTTATCAAGTGATGATTTTTGAAAACATCATCACTTGATAAGACACAAAAGTGTTGAAAAAAATGGCTATTTTTGTAGTGATTTTATAACATATTTATGTTATAATTTTAAATAAATATATATATATATATATATATATATATATATATATATAAATATATATAAATATGCGTATACATGTGTATATATATTGTAATGTATGTTTGCCCCTTCCCATATAATGACCGAAGTTAAACAACGTCGAGCCTGGTCAGTACCTAGATGGGTGACTGATAGTGAACACCAGGTGCTGTAAACTTTGATGTGTGGGTGGTGTAATGGATAAAGGCTTTGAATTGTTAATCTGGGAGCCGAGTTCAAATTCCAGTTGTGTTCGTTATATTCACTTACGTGAGAATACCCCTTGGAAATGTGTGGGTCAATTAGCAAGACTTGTATAATTAAAACATTATTATTCTTCGCCCCCTCCCGAGATTCTTGCAATCTACAAATATTTTCTGGCCTCAAATAAACTGCAAAGGGTCGATAAGCCGTGGAAAACGAATCAATCATTAATTTAACACTTCAACACTTCACAGAAAACATAAATAAATCAGTGATTTTTGACGGGTACTATCCTAGTTATATATAACAGCTCTTTGTTTACGATCGAACGATTCAATTAATGATGACTAATCTTTCCTTTACTGATGTTGTATATTCCGTACTTCAGTTTGGTTTGCTTCGTCTAAATGTTGCAACTCTTATGAATAATTCTTGATGCGACACGAAGATATCACAGGTAAGAATATTTACAAAAATATATGAAAGTCTTATTCACTCCAATGCTTACATCTATAAACATATCGCAGTTATTAAATCGATTTATCTAAAATTCCATTCGCACTAATGATTGCATAAGGAATAGATTTGTTTAAACAAATTTATCAAAGCGACCATTCACGTTAATGTTTGCTATATCAGGACAGATATAAATAATAAAGGGTGATATGGAAATGATTTGGAAAATGTATTTTCTGTAGATATTTATTATAAAATATTATAAAGTATTGGCCTTTTTTTTAACCATTGTGCAATTATCAACACTGATTTAGAGATAGATAGATAGATAGATAGATAGATTGAAATAGATGAGACAGGCTAAGATAGATAGATATACAGATTAGACAGGCTGAGATAGATAGATAGATAGATAGATAGATAGATAGATAATTGAAAGGCTGTGATAGATAGATGAGATAGGTTGAGATAGATATTAGCATATATATATATATATATATATATATATATATATATAGAGAGAGAGAGAGAGAGAGAGAAAGAGACAATAAAGAAGAGATGCTGATAGATAGAGAGATAATTGAAAGACTGTGATAGATAGATGAGATAGGTTGAGATAGATATTAGCATATATATATATATATATATATATATAGAGAGAGAGAGAGAGAGAAGAGATAATAAAGAAGAGATGCTGATAGATAGATAGATAGATAGATAGATAGATAGATAGATAGATATGAATAGAATGATATAGTTGAGGCTGGCCGAAATATAAAGTTAGATTTGAATATATAGCTAGACATATGAGAGGTTAAGATATCTAGTTAGATATGAACAGACTGAGATAGATAGATAGATAGATAGATAGATAGATAGATAGATAGATAGATAGATAGATAGATAGAATGCGTGTGATGGCATAGAAAAGTAGATAGGATGAAGCAGAGAGTGAATGAGATATTAATACTGACAGGGAGTGTGAATAACAGCTTAAAAAGTAGATTAGAAAACTTAAACCTTTCCTCATATTTGGAACGATGATTTATTGATAGATTTCCGGATTATTTTTTAAGGTTTATCAACATTTTGCTGGTTCTTTAAAGCCAGTAAATATTTCAGTAGTTTCTAAGAATTTTTGGGAGAGAATTGTAATTTACTGATGCAAGTCATAATAATTACTCCATAAAGAAACCTGTTAGTAAAGAAAGGAGGAAAATATAATTGCATTACACAGTAGATCAGAGAATTGCATTTATCTCTCACGTTTTAGACGCATGCGCAGGAGAAAAGAGGTTGCAAGAAATGCTTAATTTTCAACAATGACTATAGCGAGAGTGTGAAGTGTTGTTAGAAAAAAGTCAACGATTTATTCTTGCAGGATATTAATGAGTACGATGATAAACTACATCCGGCAGCAGTCCGGAATAGAAGCACCTGTTAGGATCCTAGCTCTGGGAAAATAGTGAATCCTTCACCAAAGAAAAACAAAATACCATGAAAGTATAAAAATACCAGCAATACATTTTTTATTATCAAAATTGATTACTAACAAAACTTTTATGTGTAGTTCAAAGCGTACAATTTCATTCTTTAGTTATAGCCATTAAATTATGTTCAAAATATTTAGAATTACATAACCCATAGGATGATATGCCGCTCAAGAAAATCAACCAAACCAATCAAAATTTTTCGATTTCCGCATTAAATAACCTATAGAGGTTGATATGCCGCTATACAAAATCAACCAAACCAGTCAAAATATTTAGATTTCGGCATTAAATAACCTATAGAGGTTGATATGCCGCTATACAAAATCAACCAGGCCAGACCAATCAAAATATTTAGATTTCGGCATTAAATAACCCATAGAGGTTGATATGCCGCTAAACAAAATCAACCATTAATTTCGGCATTAAATAACCCATAGAGGTTGATATGCCACTAAGCAAAATCAACCAAACCAAACCAATCAATTTCTTTCGATTTCGGCATTAGATAACCCATTGATGTTGATATGCCTCTATTCAAAATCAACCAAACCAAACCAATCAAAATATTTAGACCTCGGTATTAAATAACCCATAGATGTTGATATGCCGCTAAACAAAACCAACCCACGAAATAACTAGCAAGTAAGTGCTCTTTCATGACATTAATCCATATAATATCCTACAATTTCCTAAATAAAATGTTATTCCAAAATATAACTTCAGCAAAACTACAACATAAAACGCACATATCTCTGCCTCTAGTATTTATGTCCATCTAACATGGTTAAGAATCCTATCGGCGATGACTTATTGTTATGAAGTAGAGTACTCTCTCTGGAACAGATGTTGTCAGGTCAACAGATTGTAGATTGACTGGCATTCGCTGTGGTGTACTGCTTTTATTGCAGTACATCATTTACATACCATGCTATCCATATATGTGCACAAAAGCTGAGTATCATCTACCATGCATTCAATTGTAAAAAGCAGTATAACATACATTTTTATTACTTCAAAGCTCCCAAGAATATCAAATCCCTGCATTAAATGGCCCCTAAGGAGTTAATCTGCCGTTAAACAAACAAATCAAATTGTTATAACCTTGTGTCAAACTATGTCGTGACCTGTGAAACAATCTTTCATAAATTCTTCTTACAGACGTAGTTAGTTCGATTCTTATTATGCATCTCGTACTCGTGGCTTTGTAATAAGGCAGAGATTTCAAGTCTCAAGAGCCACCTGAGGTAGAGCATATAGACAATATACTGATACAATGATTTTTGAGATGTTTGGCACCAATTAAAAAAAAAGAAAGACAATTCAACTTTGCAATGAGGGGATTGCTTCAGTTTTTCAAATTCCGTTTTTGCTATCAGAAATCAAAATGCTTCTCCCCATTTTTTTTTTACTATCACACCGTTACAATATGTACACTGACCTTTAAATAATAGTCAAGAGTTTTCTCTCACATAAAATGAGTAGTGAGTTCGATCCTGATTTGGCACTTGCTTCTAGCCTACTCTCGTATTTATAATATATAAGCTAATCTAAACTGAAACAATGTACCACAACTGTTGAAACAGTTATTCATAAGTTCGTCTGCCATACGATTACGGCTCCAGTGTTTTCGATTTTACCGATTATCCTTATACTGTTAACTGAGTACCTATGGAGTAACGGGTAAGATTTTTCTCTTACAAAGCATTACTGCAATCAGAAGATCGATCCTTATTGAATTGCTTCAAAAATATACACGTATGCCAGGTGTCATGGGTCCTTACCCTATAACTACAGAATGAAGTCTTCCAAACACTATGTATACTACGCCTCTCAAGAGAGAGGGTCGAATAACCCGGACGAGGCTCCGTCGAAGGGCAGAGTCTCGTTCGGGGAGGTTGACCAACCCGATCCCGTTTATACGGGTTCTACGGGCATTTTTTGGCCGAGCCTACGCGCTCGGGAAACCCACGTTAAACTCGGCCTTATGCCACATGCAATCCTCGTGGGGGTGGGGGCTAGATACCGAATCAAGCTAAGCGTCTCGGCTAAGGGTAAGTAAATATCGAATTGAGTCGAGCTTCTCGGCTTGACGGTCGAACTCTCTGCCTCTGAACAGAGATGAACCCGGAGAAGGCTCCGCCGAAGGGCAGAGTCTCGTTCGGGGAGGTTGACCAACCCGATTTCTTTTTTTACGGGCATTTTTGGCCGAGCCTACGTGCTCGGGAAACCCACGTTAATCTCGCCCTTGTGCCAGATGCAACCCTCGTGGTGGGTGTGGCTAGATATCGAATCAAGTCGAGCCGATAGTAGTTCACTCCCAACCAGACTGACAGTCATACTAACCCCTTCCACATCTTGTATTATTATTTCGTGTCATATACCTTTGTTATTTCTACTCTTGTGTTTGTGTTGTTCTTCCTTGGTCCTAACCTGGATCATAACACCAGGCTAATTTAAAATATTCACTTGAGCCAGGCTAAGATAAAATATACACTTACACCAGGCTAAGATAAAATATACACTTATGCCAGGCTAAGATAAAATATACACTTACACCAGGCTATAATAAAATATACACTTATGCCAGGATAAGATAAAATATACACTTATGCCTGGCTAAAATAAAATATACACTTATGCCAGGCTAAGATAAAATATACACTTATGCCTGGCTAAAATAAAATATACACTTATGCCAGGCTAAGATAAAATATACACTTATGCCTGGCTAAAATATAATATACACTTATGCCAGGCTGAGATAAAATATACACTTATGCCTGGCTAAAATACAATATACACTTATGCCAGGCTAAAATAAAATATACACTTATGCCAGGCTAAAATAAAATATACACTTATGCCAGGCTATGACAAAATATACACTTATGCCAGGCTAAGATAAAATATACACTTATGCCAGGCTAAGACAAAATATACACTTATGCCAGGCTAAAATAAAATATACACTTATGCCTGGATAAAATAAAATATACACTTATGCCAGGCTAAAATAAAATATACACTTATGCCTGGCTAAAATATAATATACACTTATGCCAGGCTATGACAAAATATACACTTATGCCTGGCTAAAATAAAATATACACTTATGCCAGGCTGAGATAAAATATACACTTATGCCTGGCAAAAATAAAATATACACTTATGCCAGGCTAAGATAAAATATACACTTATGCCAGGCTAAGACAAAATATACACTTATGCCAGGCTAAAATAAAATAAACGCTTATGCCAGTCTAAGATAAAATATCCACTTATGCCTGGCTAAAATATACACTTATGCTTGGCTAAAATAAAATATACAATTATCCTTAGCTATATTCTTCATTTTAAGAAATATGAAATACCATTCCGGAAGTAGAAGTCCTTTAGAACGATAGTTTTTTTTTTTTTTTGTTGTTTTTTTTTCTGTTTTTGTATATAAGAAAACCAAGAAAAACACAGAAGATATATAAAAATATCAGAGGCTGAAAATTATACATAGCGCCCAAGTAAAAAGCGATTTTTTTATTATTATCATTATTTTATCTTTCAGGGATAATTGACCTTGAATAACCTTGGATAAATTTCTTGAATATTCATGACATTGAATAACCATTCGACTCTCGTATAATTACTTAAGTCTGATTCTTTTTTTTTATGATCGATTAATTGCTGCTCGATCTTGTGACTCGTCATTTAAATGTTATTTCATCTTTCGTTCTGCCATTCTCGTATGGCTAATCAACTCACTGATTATTAACCTTAAGTTATCGTACTTTTCAAAGAATAACATCCCACGTGGATATTGACGAAATGGGCAGAAATTCTTCCTGAATTTTTCAGTCACGTCAGATGTCACCGGTTTTCAACAATTGTCTCACGACTTTCTGAAGTTACTTCTTTTTTTACTCGGCAGCCTGTATAAGAAATATCTGCACATGAAAGGTTAACCATATTCAGACATAACAGGTGCTCCTTCTGATGTGTGGTGAGGAGAACTGAATATAAACTGACTCAAAAACCTTCAGGTTAAATACATATTGAGTTTTCTTCAGCTACAAGAACATTTATTGGTTATTGAGTTTGGCACATTCATAATTGTTTTATAAATTAATAATTAGAAATAAAAGGTATTAAGAAATGTTCAGGTGAAAATGGATAGCTACTTGATACTTTTGAGATCTGAAACAATTTTTCTGCAGATATTTATTATAAACTATTGTAAAATATTGGCTATTTCTAAGAAATCTTGGACAATTATCAACACTGATTTTAGATAGATAGATGAGACAGGTTGAAATAGATTTTAGCATATATATATATATATATATATATATATATATATAAAAGAAAGAGGTTATAGTGGTTCCAACGAGAGAAAAGTGTGTATATTAAAAAGAAGAGAATAGAGGTGGCGCAAAAGTTTTTGGGTTGTAATGTGGATTTTTTAAAAATATTATGCTTTATTTTTCTATAATTTTACTACACGTGTTTCTGGTCTCATGACCGTCTTCAGGTAAAAGGCGGAGATTTCCACATATTATTAAAAAGGATTAATTTTTTCCTTATGTTTTTCAATGTTAAATATTCTCGACATTCTCTGTTTTTGTGTTAGTAATCCGAATGTCTTTCTTAAATTGGCAGTTCTGCATGTGAGCGTTCGTGTATGCACGTGAGTGACTTGATCACTGTATTTGGTCATAGTAGATAGATAGATGATAGATAGATAGATAGATTGAATGGAGATAGATAGATAGATAGATAGATAGATAGATAGATAGATAGATAGATAGATAGATAGATATGAATAAACTGAGATTGTTGAGACAGGCAGATAGATAGATAGATAGATAGATAGATATGAATCTGAGATAGATAGATAGAGATAGATAGATAGATGAGATAAAGAGATAGATAGATAGATAGATAGATAGATAGATAGATGAATGAATAGATAGATAGATAGATATGATAGATGAGACAGATAGATATAGATAGATATGAATAGATGAGACAGGCTGATATTAGATAGAGATAGAACTTAGATAGATAGATATGAATGAACTTAGATAGATAGATATGGATAAACTGAGATATAGCAGATAGATAGATAGAGACAGGCAGATAGATAGATAGATAGATAGATAGATATGAATCGACTGAGACAGTTGAGACAGGCTGATATTAGATAGATAGATAGATAGATAGATAGATAGATAGATAGATAGATCTGAATAAACTTAGATAGTTTAGACAACTTGAAATCGATAATTATGTATAGACTGAAATAGATAGTTGAGGCTGGCCGAAATAGTTAGATTTGAACAGGCTGTATGGAAAAATATGAAAACAATATCACACTTTCAAAAAAAAAACACAAGTTCAAACTTGGTGAACACAAGATGTCTATTATTTTTTTTTTCCAATTTTACTTCCTCCGCTTAATAAGTAATGGCTCCACTTTCTGGTTTTCGCAATATGGTAAAAACAATATCACACATTATAAAACTAAAGTTCAAACTTGATGAACACACGATGTCTGTTATTTTCTTTCTTTTCAATTTTACCTTCACTTAATGAGTTATGACACTGCTTTCTTGTTTTCGCAATATGGAAAAATATCACACTTTATAAAACTTAAGTTCATTGGCACCAGATGTCTCCTGTCTGATGTGCATTGGGGATGTTAATGATGGCAAATTACTGCTGGTGTGAAAATCTGTTATCTGTCTGCCAACCCAGGCATTAACTTTACTGTCCAACCAATATTAAAATGTCTTCATTATGACATTCTACCTATCAACCATATTAACGCGCAATCTATTATTTAAAATATCAGTGTGACGCTGACTACCTAGTTAGAACAATTAGATGTTGGCAGCGAGGAGTTATCAACACGTCACTGTAATTTGGACAGTTATATAGGCGCGTAAATACGGCTGGTTTGGCAATATCTGAACATTTATTAACAACTATCAATATGCCAGGCCTTATAACGACTACATGTTGTCTGTACTGAGGAAGGCTCCCTCTGATTTTCACCTTAGCTTTTTATTGCGATTTATATTAAGTCTTTCCAACCATCCCTCTTCTAGCGAAAGAACTTGCCGTTAGTTTTAAGTATAATTAGTTTATATATGAAAATTTCTCGGACATTCAGGCCGGTAAATGTTATTTAATACTGTTTATTATAAACAGAGCATTTACTTAAATACTTGTATCTATAAAAAAAGAACGTTAAACATAAAAATATCTTTAATATATATATATATATATATATAACTTTCTATCATTGGTATTATCAGTTTTGCATTTCAATTATGGAATGAGGAATTGTCAACATTATTAATCAAACGCATATTATTTAATTCAAGTGGCAAGAACCCCCATTTATAACCAAATGACGAAATCATTTGATTTAATGGTCATGAGACCAATCTTTGGATCATGTCAGTCAGTTAAGTGACACATATGATACATGCTTGGGCAATCATGTCTCTTTCGATACGAGACTGACGAGGCAGAAGATTTTTCCCGGAGTAAGTTGCCATTTCTGTCTGCTGTAGGCTGGTTGCAATCTGTCCAGCCATTCAACGCAAGAAGGGATGAATTCATATCTTTCCCAGGCGTATTTGTACGTAAGTAATTATAACGAACTCGACTGGAATTCGATCTCGGCTTTAATTCCGAGCCGATATCCATTAGACCAAGAGTAGCGAAGCAATAAACAGTGGTTCAACAGGAACGACAAAATATCCGATATCTGACGATGGCCAGTAGATGTTTGGTCGAAGCATTGTATCTATAATCATATCTATGTTAATCAAGATGTGACCAGTAGTTCGAATAAATTAAAGCACATAGAAAGTTTGAATTGCGGGGGTCAAATGTTTGGACATTTTTCAGAATCATGTTACATTGTTGAAGATAAAAAAAATAAAATAAAATACACAACCAAAAACAGCAATGTAATACAAAAAAAGAAAAAAGATAAAAGACATTGCAAGTAAAATCCGGCTGTTCCCAATTCTATCATCGTCGCCAACAACGCCAACCAGTCATTTTTTATGTTGAGAACAATCCGGCTGACAAAGTGCCACGGACACGGTTCACAGAAAATGCTGAGTTTGCCAAATTTGGACGTGGGCGCTCAACAGAAGAATGTGGGGAAAAAAACAGTAAAAATCACGTTTCTCGAGGTGTCCACGTACAAGTGCGAAAACCAGAAAGCGGTGCCATTACTCATAAAGCGGAAAAGGTAAAATTGAAAAGAGCAAAATAATAGACATCTTGTGTTCACCAAGGTCGAACTGTCACATTGATATATACGCACGCACAAAAATATACATATTTGTGAAAGTTTCAGATAAAGTATAACTGTAATAGGACAATATGAATGAAGACAAAAGGAAAACTTATCTTAGCCCACGCGTTTCGTCCTCTGAGGGAATTTATCAAGGCAAATGTAAGGATTTGATTTTGTGACAAGTATTTATATATAAGAGCAAAAATGTTATTGTTTTTTTTCAAAATCTATAGATAAAGGAGAGCTCGCTCATGAATATTTATTAGGTTGAAGAAAAATTTAGGCGTGTTCATGGACATTTAGGCGTGTTCATGGTGATACAATTCATTGTCTAATAAATGAAAGTGAGTAGGTGATATATATATATATATATATATATATATATATATATATATATATATATATATGTTATAACTTAGGAAACGTTACTGACTAGAATAATCACACGAAGGTTGGTAATGAACGATAATACTTAGGACACGAACAACACATATAGGCGGGTAGAAGTAATCAACTGCTAGAAGTGAGTCAAGTGAATACCACAATAAAGCTTTAACTGCAGGATATCTACCAAACAACCCCACGCGATCAAATATGGAACAAGGTCGAATTTCATGTGGGGTATCTGAGCCCGTAGGCCCGGCCAAAAATTCCCTGTAGACCCCATATAAAACAGAGGTCGCTGTTTCCCGTGAAGAAACTCTGCCTTTCGACATAGACTGGTCTGGAGATCCTCACTGCCCGGAGGCAGAGAGTTTGGAGACGAATCTCCAAATGCAGACCAACATACAGTATTTACTACTGTATTTATGTGAATGATGACATACCCATTATCGTGCGTAGGTAATATTATATATATATATATATATATATATATATATATATATATATATATGGTATAAGAATGACAATTGTAAAAAAAAAAATAGTTTTTGCCGACGCATTTCGACTTCCGACATTATCAAAGCAAATAATGAAAGCTAAATGTTTTTTGTTGACATAGTTACATTGCATCCTGACGTGCTATACTATTTAGCTACAGAGGAAGCGTCTGGTTATCAAAGTGAAATTACTGTTTTTAAATAAGGCATTTACTTAAATATTTATATCTATAAAATAGCTTATAAACTGGAAATATATCAGAATAATTGTTGGATTTACTTCATTTCATAACATATGGTGTCATTTGTTTACATTAAGATTTACTTCGAGCAGATATGAGCATTCGAAAAAAGTTCATGGGAAATTTGTTGTTTAAAAAAAAAATTAAGGACAAATCTACTAAATATATTTCAAAATTAAAAGGAAAAATGTTACCACAAAGAGACGCATTAAAAAGAGCCGATTCATTCATTATTATTATTTCATTATTTCCTTTGATTATTATTGCATGATCATCTCATTCTGGGTCCCAACCAGAGACATAAGACGTTTTTTCACGGAGCCTTGTTGAACATTTTACATCGATAAACCTCTTCGTAATGTGTGAGCTGCACTTGTGAGTACAATTTTTTGTATTTCTTTAAGCTATGGAATACCAAGAATCCCTTTAATGAGGCTTTTCCAATCAGTCCGAGGACTCCAACTCCAACCAGAATTGTTGATGTCCGCATGTGACGCATTTTTATAATTCCACTTCAAGATCCTTGTATTTTTGGGAAGATACATGACAATCTTCAAGGATTGCCATGCCAATAGGTAAGCACACTTTTTTGTGGTCTTTTATCAAGACGTCTTATCGATTATCTTTGATTGTTCTACCTGTGATTGTAATGTCCCATAAAATTGTTACAGGTCCTATCTTTCTAACTGGGTGTGGATGATATTCATACCAGTTTCTTGCAGTTCCCTTCCTGTAAAATTTGCATATTTCCCAATGCAGAGATTGAACTCTATTATGCCGACTCCTTTTATTCAGTCGATGCTAACACCGTGCAACCTCATAAGAATCGTTTCTGGATATTTATCACAGAATCTGAATTTCGGGTTAATACAATTTTGTTAGTACGTGTGCATGGCAATTTTTAGAAATCAAAGCATTGCTCCTGTGAAGCCCAAATAAAATCTTTTAACATTGAAATTTTTATGTTCTTTTCTGCTGCAGTAGTTGTATTATGGTTTGCTTGCATTTACTCACCTACATTCCCTTTTGAATTTGTCAGCTTTCTTTATTACTGTTGTGGTGTGCTACCTACAGTGAGCCGATGATGGACTTTCCCACTAGGTATAAGACTGATTGTAGAGGGGAACGGAGAGGAAACAGTGCACCGTCACTGTCATCTGTCAAACTCTCTGCTTTGGCAGAGAGGAACCCGGACGAGGCTTTGCCGAAGGGCAAAGTTTCGTCCGGAGAGGCAGACAGGCCCTGAACTCGTTTATGCGGGTTCTATGGGAATATTTTTTGCCGAGCCTACGGGCTCGGTGAACACACGCTAAATTCGGCCTTGTGCCACATACATCCCTCGTGGATGTTAAATATTAACAGTACACCGTCACTGTCACCTGTTATACTCTCTGCTTTGGCAGAGAGGAACCCGGACAAGGCTTTGCCGAAGGTCAAAGTTTCGTCCGGGGAGATAGACAGTCCCGGACCCTTTTATGCGGGATATAAAGGAATACTTTTGGCCGAGCCTACAGGCTCGGAGAACCCACGGTAAACTCGGCCTTGTGCCACATACATCCCTCGTAGGGAGCTGTTAAATATTAACAGTACACCGTCACTGTCACCTGTCAGACTCTCTGATTTTTGTGACAAAATCTGGATCTGGATCTCTTGAATGTTTTCTTGGATCTTACATTTGCATATTTATCTAATCCATACCGATATCATCAGTGAAACATTTTACACTATTGAATATACCCTTCGACTCATTGTTATCTTTGGCAAAAAGTTTGATATCATCCATGTAGAATAGGGGATTAAAAACTTGCTTATTCCTATTCAGTTCATGTGAAAGGGGGATTAAGTACAGACAAATCAGAAGGGACGACAAGAGGGTTGATATTCAAAGAATTATTATTATTATTATTATTATTATTATTATTAATGGTCTGTCCCTCGATATGGGGCTACTGGTATTATAAAGACTGCTTGCCTAAAAAAAACAATAGCTTTATGAAATACGCTGGATGATCAAACATTTTTGTCGAAGCATTATCTTAACTATAATCTTGGCAATATATATATATATATATATATATATATATATGTGTGTGTGTGTGTGTGTGTGTGTGTGTGTGTGTGTGTGTTTATGTATGCATATATGTATGTATATGTGCATATATATATATATATATATATATATATATATATATATATATATATTGTGTGTGTGTACATA